GGAGTACCATTCCATTGTATGGAGAACACCATTTCATTGTGTGGGGAGTACTGTTCCCTTGTGTGGGGAGTACTGTTCCATTGTGTGGGGAGTACTGTTCCCTTGTGTGGGGAGTACTGTTCCATTGTGTGGGGAGTACTGTTCCCTTGTGTGGGGAGTACTGTTCCCTTGTGTGGGGAGTACTGTTCCATTGTGTGGGGAGTACTGTTCCATTGTGTGGGAGGAGCCCTATTCCACTGCATGGAGAGTACCACCGTGTTATGTGGGGGATCCTATCCCATTGTGTGGGAGTCCTAGGCTCTATGTCCCCATTTTGTTTGTCTGTCACCTGCTGATGGACATTGTGACCTTTGAAGTAATGCTTTCCCTGGGCAGGGAGGGCAAGCTATGCTTCAGTAGTAAGTTGGACTGGACTCTCCCTGGGCCAGCACAGACCTCAGCCCTGCCTCGCTCACTCAGTCTCTGATGTGCGCTGGCCTGCAGGATCCCGGAGGCAGGGAAGGGGACCAACACAGTCTGCGGGATGGACTTAAGGGGGGGTCCGTGGTGTTTCTTCCACCTCTCCCTCCACATGGACTGTGGCCCAAGCAGGCTGCCACATATGGGGGAGCCCGGGGCAGGTGGGGGAGCCCTCAGGTGCCAGAGTTCACCACAGGCTCCGCCACCGCCCCGTTGACAACCCCCCATGTCATAGTGATAGGGCAGCCTTGTAAATGAGACCCACGGGCACTCACATGGGCAGCTACCAGCGCTCTCCAGCAGGCAGAGGTCCCGGGGCCCTGCTAACCTAAAGGCCGGCATCCCACTCCCCACCCTCCCCACGGCTCCGTGGGAGAAAGGCCTGGCAAATGGTTTGCATGCGGGTGGTGGTTGCCAGATGTGACCTCCTAAGGCATCTCTGTGGTGGAGCTGGGATGACCCAGTGGGGGCTGTCAGGCTGGGATCCTCACGGGAGCAGGTCATCTCTTCTCAGCCCCGGTGTGGTTTTACACCTCCAGCTTTGGGTTAACAGCCAAGTGCTTCTCTGCTGTACCATTGGGCCCGGAAGCCCAAGGGAGCAGTTTTGCTCTGAGACACCTGGACTCGCCGCCCATTGGACTCGACCTGTGCAGCAGTTAGGTTTCGTGTCAACTTGAACTTGTGGAGGGGCGGAGTCCAACAGGGAGGTGTGACCTTTTATAAGAGGGACCCCATCATTCCCTCTCTGCCCGTCCGCCTTCCTGCTTGCCTGGCCTCTGCTTGCTTCCGGGGCCGCCTGACCCTGAGAGCTTCCCCTGCTCTGCCACGTCTCCACCGACCTTGAATCCACTCCACTCTGCACCCACCAGCCTGTGGTCTCCCTGCTTCCTCTCTCCTATCCCTCCCCTTCCCCCAACCCCCCTCCCTCATTAATGAAGCTTTTATTGCGGCTTGAGCGAAAGTTCACACAGTCAATTATTTTTCCCTTCTGTGATTTATACCCAGTTTGTCTTGTGACCTTGACTCTGGTCCCTTCAGTGTAACAGCACAATCCCCACTTCCTCCCTGGACTCCCTTTCCGTTCACCCCTCTCTCCTGCCCCTTCCCACCTACTAAGCTGGGTTTCTTGGGCCCCCATGTGGCCAACCATTCTCGGATATCACTCCTCACTCTCAACAACCCCTCGAGGCCACCTTGAGGCAGAAACACTCTTGCTGGCGGCACCTGTCAGCCACCTGTCAGCCACGGCTGTAAGCAAAGCATTACCGACCCTACCGCACACACCACACAGGAATGGGGAGTGAAGCTCAGGGAGGTAGACTCACTCAGTCAGGGCCCCCAAGATGGGAGAGGAGGAGCGTGGGCAGCCCTGACCCTTCCCGGCCTCCTGTCCTCCCCCGCAGGAGCTCATCACCGCCTGGTACATCGGGTTCCTCACCCTCATCCTCTCCTCGTTTCTCGTCTACCTGGTGGAGAAGGACGTGCCCGAGGTGGACGCCCAAGGCGAGGAGATGAAGGAGGAGTTTGAGACCTATGCTGATGCCTTGTGGTGGGGCCTGGTGAGCCAGCCGCCGGGAGGGTGGCCCCTGGGGTGCCTGCTGGGTGGAGCGGGGCATGGGCGGGAGGGGCTTGAGCATGCTCACCGGGGTGCATGCAGCTGCCCTTGGGGACCTGGCTGTTACCACTGCCCGAGCCTTGCAGCAATGGGCTCAGGCTGCCTCCGTCATGGCGGTGGTGCAGGGCTATACATCAGGCCACCATGAGTTGGCGCCCACACAACAGCAACTTAGAACCAGAGCAAAGGCACGCAGTGGTGACACACACACATCCGTGTACAGACCAGCAGCTGTGCCTGGCCTGGGACCACACGCCTGGATCATTCACACAGCCCAGACCCAGAGGGACGCAGAGCGCTGCCAGTGTCGGCCTCCACTCCAGGCAGTGAATTTGGATTGGTTTTTGTGCTGGGTCATTCCTCTGAGCTCTTGCTATGATTCACATACTTCAGACTCAAAGATACCCCTACGATAGACTCCTAGTGGGGAGTGGGTTAATGGGTTGGGCTGCTCACCTCAAGGTCCGAGGTTCAAAGCTACCAGCTGCTCCTCGGGAGGAAGTCGAGGCTTTCTGCTCCCATGAAGATTCCCACCCTCAGAAACCCAAAGGGACAGTTCTACTCTGTCCTCCTTGGTCCCTGGGAGTCTGAATCGACTCAGTGGCAGTGATGCTTGGTTCAGCTTACCCCAGCATTTTATGAATGGGGGCACTGAGGCTTGATGGGGTTAAGGAGTTGATGGTGGAGTGGAATTTGAACTCAGGCAGTACCGCTCCACACGCCTCCGCCCCCCAACAGCCTGCCTTTGCAACAGGCACACATCCATGAGCACAGGCATCCTGAGAGCACATGCCAGGACTACACAGCCCACCGGGTACCGTGTGCAGGCCTGAGCCCGCTGGGTGCTGGCACACACATACGAGGGGGCTTCAGGAAGCTCCTGGCAAAGCACCCCATTCTCTCTCCGTCCCACTTCTGCACAAGGTTGGGTAGGCTCCCCTCATGTACAAGACAAAGACGCACACGCACACACTCTCACCCACCCAGTTGATAACATGACCAAACACAAAACCGCACGCACCCCCATAAGCCTGGACACAAGCGCACACGCATGGACACACGTGTGTGGTTGTTGCCATGATTCTTGATGGGCTGATGGCACTTAGGCCGTCTTCAGGCTGTGCTTCCAAGACTCCCACGTCAATGATGGGGCTCCTGGTGCCTTTCCTCCCAGGGGACCTGATTTGGATCGGGAGCAGCCCCCAGATGGGGACAGAGGGCTGTAGTCTGGGTTCTGCAGAGCCTCTCCCGGCAGGCCGCCCCATCTGAACCCTTCTCTCCTCAGATCACACTGGCCACCATTGGCTACGGAGACAAGACGCCCAAAACGTGGGAGGGCCGTCTGATCGCGGCCACTTTTTCCTTAATTGGCGTGTCCTTCTTTGCCCTGCCAGCGGTGAGTGTCTTCAGTGCCCTCCCCGGCGGCGTGGAGCAGCCCTCTCGGCCTGGCCCCGCTCAGCTGCCCAGCCCCATCTCCCATCCTCCCACCCACTGACTTCTAGCCTGTCCATACCATCGCCATTCTCAAACCCTGGGTGACAGCCTCGCCAGGAAGGGCCCCTCCTTCAGCAATGCCTGGGCCCCATCTTCTCCTCCTCCAAGACCTTCCTTTACCAAGGGAGTGCATGTCCCCGTCAAACTGGTTCTA